GGGAGACACTTCCAAATGAAAATTCAAGCTCAACAGATTGGCTAACTTATATTAAGCAGGCCTTACAAAATTACTCTCTGACCCAAAACTGGGAGAGGGCCTACACCCTAACTCAACAGGGACTATTAAGTATGCTGATGCAAATGGATTCAGAATTAGCTATGGGACAATGGCCAACCATTCTTAATGCAGAAGCACACACCAAAAACCTATGGAAAAACCATGGGGAACTCAGGCTCTGGAAAATAACTAATAAATGCAACATGAGTCATTGCACTCTGTCCAGGTTCCTAGGTTAAATGAATCAACAAAGTATCCTATTGCAATTAACTGGGCTAGGGGAAATTGAAGAGGATATTCACATAATACCCATTGGACAAAGGTGGGCAGTCCTCCAAAATGAATCTCAGTTGAACTTTATTTCTCTCTCTGAGTGTGAACAAAAAGGTGGTATCTAGCTATGTACCCAAAAGAAATGGACTTCTGATTTTTCTCAGGCCTGGCCCTTAGTCTCAGTTCCAACTAGGAATAATGTTTGATACATGGGAAAAGGAATATTTTGCTGGGAGGGAATACCTAATGAAACTGTCATGTTATCAGACTTCTCCTGTAAGAAGACAAATCACACACTCCCTTACACTGGAATTTGGTGCATCACCAAAGAAATAAAACAGATCTACTTAAAGTCTACTAATAAGACCTATGATAACCTTGATGCCCAAGAAACATTATCTCTAGAGCTAAAAACAAAACACATCCTATGACATTAAAATCATGAATGCACAATGGCCTAAGACTCAATTAGATTTGGCAAATAATAAGGAAATCAAATTTCTTAGAGAAGACAATAGAATACTCTACAAGATACACTTAAGAGTGGACAAGGGAGGAAATGACATTCTTGAACTTGCTAACACCTGATTGGGTAAGTGCTTCTGTGTATGTGTTTGTCTTATTGGATGATAAATAAAGTACTGTTTGGCCAGTGAGGCAGCAAGTTAGGCAGGACTAGGAGTCAAGGAGGATTCTGGGAAATGTAGTTAAGAAGTGGTGATCCAGGCAGGAAGTGACATAGCAGGGAGACTCATATATAAGCAAGGGCAAGAAGAAGTCGTGTCTGATAAGTTTTATAATAAAATATATAGATTTATGATAATTAAGACTGAGTAACAGATAAGAAATCCTAGTTGTTGGCCAAGCAGCATTTGTACCTAACATAAGTCTCTGTGTGTTACTTGGGACCCACGTGGCCAGTAGAACTCGGGCGCTTTTGCAGACTTATTGCTACAAACACCTATAGCCAAACATGCCAAAGTTTGTGGCTGGCTATCATGTATTTTTCCCTCATCAATAGCCTTACTTGAGATGCAATAGACACTCCTCTTCACCACCTTCATTATACTGCTCTTAATCTTATTTAATATATGGTTTAGATGACACCACAAATACCAGGAACATAGGGCAATGAAAGAAATCTATCATCACCAGGAACTAAAATGACAGGCCAGCCAGGTGTTGGTGGTGCATGCCTTTAATCCCAGCACTTGGGAGGCAGAGGCAGGTGGATCTCTGTGAGTTCAAGGCCAGCCTGGTCTCCGGAGTGAGTGCCAGGATAGGCTCCAAAGCTACACAGAGAGACCCTGTCTCGAAAAAAAAAAAAAAAAAAAAAAAAAAAAAAAGAAAGAAAGAAAGTAGGAGTTAGGTAGTTAGATCCCATGTTAGGTAGATAGTGAAGGAAGAGGAGCCTTGAATAATGTTAAATTGGTGTATACTAAATGGATGTTGGACATTATAGAGGAGGGCCCACAGCCAAAAAATAACTTTTCTATTCCAGCATACCTCACATCAGAGAACAGGTACTTGTAAAGACATGTGCAGAGAGGATAAGGCACATGAACAAAGTTTCAATACCTCATGGATCCAGAGCCCCAACTAACGGAAGTCCATCATTCAATCCCTGAATACATCTTGTGTTGTAAGAGACTTCCTAGTTAAACTGGTAATGGAGGTGCTAATTGGCTCAATATAAAAAACACTGCCCAAAGATAACCTGCAGACTCCAAACTCCAGGACCTCTCCTTTCCAAGAGTCTGTTCTCAACTACTACTTTTGCTTTGATTAAAACATTAGCACTGCTATACTTTGAATCCTTTACTGCCTTTTAATTATTTAATTGGTGGAAAAAGAACTCGACCACTACACACTGCAATAAGGTTTGTGGCGCTTCTGCCTACTGATTCATCCGCTATCCCTTACCATCATCACCATTATTATTGTATTTATGCCACATTGAAATTGTCTTATCTATTCTTTCATGATCCTCCTCCCTTCATGCCATCTCTACGAGGCCAGGAACCTTTTCTATTTGGCTTATCATTGCAACCCCAGTGTCTAGAATGCCACATAGATACTAGGAAGTACTCCTGGAAAGCCAGATAGCCCAGCAATACAAGGAAGGGATATTTACTGATTAAATGCAACCTTTCCTAACTTTCCCCTAGACTTCTCCATTTAGTTTTTCTCCCCAACCTTAAGGTAAGCAGATACACAACGAGTACCTCCTAGTCCTTGTCTGCCCTTTCACTGTGACTGTGTTACCATGGGGAGGAGAAAGAGCAACGATCACTGAAAACGGAAACAATATATACTAATGACGCAAGTGAATTAATATATCTAATGCATATGCTGTTTTCAAAATAATTCATCCCAAAGCTTCACAAATTACTTTCTCAAGCCCTAGCCTTTTGTATCAAAGAATACACATAGATAATCTTAAGAAAGTAACATTACTACCTGAAATCATCACTTTAAAATACCTCCAGAGACCTCAGTTCTCAAAGCATGGGAAGGAGTTAAAGGTGGTAGATAAGACTGGCTCACTGTGTGTTTTCTGGCACTTTTAGGTTTTAAATAACAAAATTTACTAAACTTTTCAGATCATCAGCAGTACAGCATTTACCCTAGTATGCTCAAGACCCTAGCACAATAATTAAATATTTTCAAATCATGACTAGCTACAATAAAAAATACAGGATCTGGTATCTACAATTTCATTGCTTCTCTTGCAATTCTTCCATTTCTAGAGATAATTTTCCATTAAAATCTTTTTTCTTGTCTTTTCTTCCTATTCTTATTTCTTTATTCAATTGAGATGAGTATCAAGCCAACTCCAGGCCCAGAAAGACAAATGTTATATGCTCTGTTCCTAACTTCAAATCATTTGTGTATGTAACTTGGAACATATGTGGGAGGCAGAAAACTAGAAAGATGCCTTATGAAGGTAACACATTAAAGGAAAGAGGACAGTAGATCATGGGTGAAATGAAAGTAGCAAGGTGGAATAATGGGGGCATACAGGCTTAATCAGGAAGAGGCACACAGTATGAGAGTACCAAGGAGGAGGAGAGGAAGGCTGACCCAAGGAAAAGTTACATGAAAATCCATATGGATGTCTACTATCTTACAACCTGGTTTTTAAAATTGGAGGGAAAGAAGAATTATATATTAATAAGAAACGAATACTGAGTGTTAACGGGTCAGGTGGGGATGGGTAGGGTTAAAGAGAGAACCTATTAATTAAAAACTAAAGCTGTGTGAAAAAGCCTTATGGAAAGATGGTTTGACATTACAACTTAAAAATATTTTTTAATGAAAATACTCTGCATGGGTGGACAATGCCACTCCTAGAATACATGGGTGTGAAATGTGAGATACTTTCTAGGAATTAATGGTCAGGGATGCCCTAGAGGTCTCCAAAACAACACAGGCCATTCTCATAGCCCCTGGTTACCCACCCAACTATTAGGCAAGACTCTATAAACCCTATTGATGAAGACACTCTGGCTGTAGGACATACATACAGAAGTATATCTCAAACCAACCAGGAAACTTCCTAATGCTGGCTACCTTTCATAGTGTTAGAGGTGCTATGTAGGCTTCTGAAGGAGAAAAGACATCAATGTTCTAACCAGTGCTGGACCCTGAATGCTGCAGCACTGACCTACCAGGCAAGATAAGCCTGCTGGTTCAACAGTGGCATGGGATAACAGCTTTGTGGTTGGGCTTGAGGACTGTTCCCCAAGAGGGAATTTCATGCCTGGTCCTTTAGTCCTTGTCAAAAGCCCATGACTCAGGAGTCATAGGCCTTAGGGTAGAACCTGCCATTGTCATTTTGATGCAAATGCTGTCTAAATATCTATGTTAATACCTATAAACCTGGGATGCTCTCAGTTTTGATCAAAGTAGTTTCTTTGGGCAGTAGGCAGCAGTCAATGGAGAGAAAAACAATTGGTCAAAGTGCTGAGAATAGGGGGCCAAATGCTCAGCTTTATCTCACCCCACACTCCAGGACCAATGCAGAAAGAACAGAAGAGCCAGGCAATGATAGAGGGCTGCTGTGAAATTCTGTATTTGGGACATAACAATAGCAGTCATGAACCCACAGCACTGTGGTTATAGAATTAAGCCAGATAAGATTCCAGCATAGACCATCCAAGCCCCACTCTTTCTGCTACTGGCAGTTAAGTTTCTGGGGGAGAAAATCACTCCTTTTGAGGATGTGGACACCAACAAGATTCCCATGCTTCAGAGGACAAACCAGATCCATGCACATATATGGGTAGCACCAACTGGACTTAGAGGGTTTTTTTTTTTTTTTTTAAGCACAAAGTTAGTTAAGGAGTTATAAAGGAGAAATGATGTACATAATCATATCTCATTATCTGAATGCATGAAATTCTCAAGAATATATAAAATAAAAAAATATAGCCCAGCCTAGCCTCGTATTTGTGATCCTCCTGCCCAACCTCCACAGTGCTGGGATTTATAGGTTCATGTTAGCATGTCTGGCTCAAAACACTTGTAATGTCACATCTCTCATCAACCTGGTAATTCCAAGCCAAGCTTGCTGTATTATAATACACAATAGCTGATAAGATATAAAACAAATAATAAACTATGGGACCCAACTATAAGCTATAACTTTGACAAAATGTAATTACTTGATGTTTTTCTTAAGGGCTTTTTCCAGTTTCTTCACCTGTTGTTTATAAAGTCTTAACTCATGTTCTGTGGGCCTGTAAAAAAAAAATTATGTTGAATACATTAAATTCAACAAAGGAGAAAATACTTAGCAGCAAAAATATATCTTGTATTATCAATAATATATAATTATAATTATTTTTAAATTAAATTTTATGTGTATGGATATTCTGCCTGCATATATATGTGTGTCTAGTGCCTGTAGATGCCAGAAGGTAGCACTGGAACCCCTGAAACTGGAGTCCAGATGGTTGTGAGCCAGCATGTGGGTTCTGGGAATCAAACCATGGTCCTTTGGAAAGTAGCCAATGTTCTTATCTGCTGAGCCATCCCCAGCGCCTTATTAAAACCTTAATTCTTAGGTGTTTACTAGGAATTTGATTTATTCTGTATAATTTCTTATTTAAAGTCTTTATTCACTTTTGCGCTATTATGTAATCTGTTTCTGGTGAATACACCATCCTACGTAATGGATGGTTTTTGTTAACTTGACACAAACTTAGACATACTGGGAAGATGGAATCTTAAATGAGAAAATGCCTCATTAAAATTGGCCTGTAGTCAAGACTTTAGAGTACTGTCTTGGTTAATGATTGATATGAGGGGGCCCAGCCCATATCTGGGCCCAAGGTCCTCGATGGTATAAGAAGGCAGTCTAAGCAAGCCAATAGGAACAAACGAGTAAGTACATCACTCCATGGCCTCTACTTCAGTCCCTCCCCCAAGGTTCCTGCCCTGAATTCCCTGGATGATGGACTATAAGCTGTGAAATGAAACTAATCCTTTCCTCCCCAAGTTGCTTTTGGCCAAGTGTTTTTTTTTTTTTTTCTATAGTTTTTTTTTTATTAAGGAACAAAATTGCATGCTTATTAAGTACTAGTGATACTGAGATTATCACATCCCCAGAAAACTTTATAGACAGAAATGAAAATAAACAACCACTGACAAATTCTTCCTAATCTTAGAATTTATAAAAGAAAATAAAAAACTAGTCTCCACATGAGCAACTAAATGTGGAAACTGACTCATCTAACATAGAAATTTCTGTTTCATCAACGCTTTACATCAGGATTTCATCCAAGTAAATGTGAATTTTATAACCAATTTATTCTTAAGTGTAGTTTAAATTATATATATATATATATATATATATATATATATATATATCTCCCAAAA